ATAGAACAACCCAGAACAACCTAGATAATAATAAAATTCAAAAAGTGGGGGGCTAACTTCACAGAGGTGGGGCTATCTCAAAAACGGTTTTTTTTACCTGACAGCTTCAAATTTGAGTTTTTTCAAATAATACTTTGGAACAATGTAGAACAAACATAGAACAACCCAGAACAACCTAGATAATAATAAAATTCAAAAAGTGGGGGGCTAACTTCACAGAGGTGGGGCTATCTCAAAAACGGTTTTTTTTGCCTGACAGCTTCAAATTTGAGTTTTTTCAAATAATACTTTGGAACAATGTTAGGAACAACTAGAACAACTTGGAACAACTAAAAAAATATTGAATTTCCAAACATGGGGGGCTACCATAAAAAAAGTTTTTTTTGTCTGGCAGCTTCAAATTTGAATATTTTCAAATAATACTTTGGAACAATGTTAGGAACAACTAGAACAACTTGGAACAACTAAAAAAATATTGAATTTCCAAACATGGGGGGCTACCATAAAAAAGTTTTTTTTGTCTGGTAGCTTCAAATTTGAGTTTTTTCAAATAATACTTTGGAACAACGTTCGGAACAACTAGAACAACTTGGAACAACTAAAAAAATATTGAATTTCCAAACATGGGGGGCTACCATAGAAAAACGGTTTTTCTTGTCTGGCAGCTTCAAATTTGAGTTTTTTCAAATAATACTTTGGAACAATGTAGAACAAACATAGAACAACCCAGAACAACCTAGATAATAATAAAATTCAAAAAGTGGGGGGCTAACTTCACAGAGGTCGCACTGTGTCCGGATTTTTAAAATAGTGGACTTAGGATTAAAGTTGCAAATTTCAGCTACTAAAAAATTGTAATTGATAGTAAATTAAATGCTGATTAATATGGTTTCCTACTATTTTTCATGAAAATGAGTCCTTCATACTGTAAAAAATGGATGCGTGTAACTTATGTACGCGCGTGAGAAGTTATACTTCTTTAGCATCATTAAAAATATTTTTTAATTGCATGCAAATAATTAATAATTACAATAAAATAATAAAAGGACTGGAAAAGGATAGTTAACACAGTCAATTAAGTTCAGTTTTAATTTGAAACATTAAATAAATATTCAAAATATTCAATTAAAATCACTACTGAATTTAAGTTATTAGTCCATATGTAATTAGCACTTGTAAGTAACTAAAACACGTTGTGTCTATATAGAAACTAGAAATATGTGGATAAATATTATAAATATGAAAACAGTGATCAGAGGCGACGAGCGTGCCAACATTGTTTTTGACAACGCGATCATCTTATGGAGCTCCGTGGATCGTTCAAAGTACCTTTCGAACAGATGTCTAATAATGGTGGATTATTAACCACTAAGTGGTTACATTAACATTCATAACGCGCCCGCGGCCAACTTCATGGTGTTACTATTGTGTTACGATGCGCGCGCATCTCGAAATTTCACTCACATGATTTTTTCATAACGCGCCCGCGGCCAACTTCATGCTGTTACTTTTGGGTTACAGTGATGCGCGCGCATCTAAAAATTTCACTCTCATCATTTTTTCATAACGCGCCTAAAGAAGTATAACTTCAAAAAATATTTACGAAAAAAATGTATGGGAGATTTTTTTTCTTGGTAGTTTAGGTTAGGTTAGTTAGCAAAAGGTAGCAGTCAAACCTCATAGGGTGGTTAGGGACTATTGACCTTGACCCAACAACACCAAAATTTTGTGCGTATCCTTGCGGCCTTAGGGCCAGCAAAATTTTAAAGTTATTTATTTTCATACCTGTTTTTTCTCTACTTATTTTACGCGTTTTCAATTAAAAATAATTTCGAATGTCTTATTTAACAAAGCAAATATTAATAAGTTCGCAATTAGACATATTGTTGGAGTATTTTGTAGTAAACTGCTTGGGGTACGAGTCTGTGGGGGTACGCATAAGCAGTACTCATGCGGGCTATTTAAACTTTACAGCTCTAGAGATAGGTCATTTCGCCAAGTTAATTTATGGTTAAACTTCTTAATACAAAGTAGGCTCTAACTATCACTAAAAACGGCTTATAGTCCCGTGGGTAGCGCGCCCCGATCGGGGCCTGCGGCGTTTGACCGTGCGATGTATTTTTTGAGCGCGCCCCGATCGGGGCGTGTGGTCTTATTTCTAAATCCCGATTTTCGGGAATAACTCGACCGTGCGTGCAGCGTACTGAGAAAGCGCGGGCGGGTGGCACAGACAAGTGTGGACTGGCCGCCTTCCCGGCGCGTAATGAAGATCTCTCAAACTACGACTCAACTATTTAACGATAGGGTAAATCTGATTTAAAATAACATATTTTATAAAAATATATTTTCAATGGATATTTGTACTTGATACCTATATTAATGTCACGTAAACGTAATTTGAACTCAAATAAAAGGTTAAATATTCAAAAACTTTTGATTATTATACGTTTTTTTACTATGTCCCGCTTTCGACGAAAGAATCCCGCTTCTTTCACTCAAAAAGATCCTAAATCCCGACTTGGCAAAAAAAAACTGGCAACACTGACTGCGATGTACCTGAAGTAGTTTAAAGTACTAAATTAATAAATAATTGCGGCAGCAAAAAATCTCAACATTTCTTTTTAATGTTGTGTGCTTAAGAGTTGCGTGTATCGCGAATGAACACAGACTGAATGACCTTCAGACGCCGTCAGACATGTGGTTGACTCGTGGTTATCTATCTGCTGATGCATCTGGCGACGTCCGCGGACGCATCTGCCGACGTAAAGAGGGAGCATAAGGTGAGGATGGATTGAAGAAACGGCACACCTTCTGCCGCATCTTCATGTTTGGACTCCTTTTACAACTAAGATAAGGTGGAGTGTGTTATGTTCTTATTTACTTTTAAGCATTTAACTGCTAGATGTTTAAATCTAAAGAAAAGTTTACTAGAAAAAAATCCACGGGGACCAGGCAGCGGACGGGACTCGAACCCGCAACCTTCGCAATCCGGGCGAATGCACTGACCATTATGCTGCCACGGCCCTATTGGCCGCGTCGAAATTTTCCTAGCCTTAAGCTGCAAGGCAGCGCCATCTCTTCGCATTGTAGGTAACCCACAATGTCAAATGAATACTTTTTCAAGTATTAAATAAATGTTATGTTTTTGACGTGACAACGTCTTAAATTAGGTTGCGGCTGGGAGTCACTTATGAAAAAGTGTAACGCTCGGTAACGTTACGATGAGTCTCTCGTGTTAAGTTTAAGTTTACATGTACAATGTTTTAGTAAACAAAATATATTTCTATAGTTAAAATTTGTGCAATTCTTATTTTCATTCAATTCCTTGTTCCTATTGTGCAATTTAATTATATTCATATCAATAAATATTCTACCGAGAAAAAGACGTTGTCACGTAAAATCTTCGCCCGTAAAACCGACTTTACAGGCAACCATTTTTTTGTTTTTATTTATTTATTTAAGTATTTAACTGCTAGAGTGGGCTGGAGTGTGTTAATTTGTCATGCCAGCGTACATCGAATTCGAGATTGTTACTTATGCTATTATTTACTGCGTAGATAGTGCCTAATTAGTGCAAAAAAAGTCCTCTTTGATTTATTGTTTTCGTATCGATTTGTCATTCAATGGTGCTCACCATCTCCATCTCGCGTGCATATAAAATTTTTCTTTTCAACTGTATTTCAATAAATTTGTTCCTTGAAGGTAACACCCTTTTTTATTATTTCGCTACGAATTCATATAGTATTTTATACCAAACAGAGGCAGAATTTTACGCATTATTTATACATGTATTATATGTAAAAAAAAACGACGGGTTGCACTCCGGGAGTGCCGGCAGAAGCGAAAACTTGAATATTAACGTTGTGCATTTTTGATATTTTGCAATGGTTAGGGAATAATTTTGCACGAATTGCTTTAATTATCAGTATAAAAGTACTATCATTTACGTGGTAGAATACAATATTTATTTATTGCGCTATCGTACACAAACATGACAATTTATATTACATTAGAAAGTTTATCTCTCAAAAAAGTCAACTTACATGAATCACATTTAAGCGCACGACATCTATTGTACAAAAAATGCATTTCCTTCGCAATAAAGCTGCCACCTGGATGTCCTAGTTAGAGACTTATTATATAATACGATAAAATAAAATATTACTATGTTTCATCCAATATATTGAAAGTCAATAACCTTTCCAATTTTATTGGTTCGTCTTACGAATTTTCAATCAGGCCGCCTGACGCGAGTTTAACATTTCTTACCCATTACAAAAAAGTGTACAACGCCGCTAAAGAAGTTTTCACTTCAAGAGACACTAGTGGTAGCGTTACTGAAACTGGTCAGTGTAGTCATGTTCTTTAACTTTGTTCCTTTAAGAGCTATCCTTATAAAATTTTTCATATTGTGGGCGCTATTAGAGCACTTATTTCTGTGATAATTTGATTGCTTAACAATAAGCCGTTTCCAAGAATGGCATGCTTTACGCGTTACGCCGACGTACACCATGAAAACCGTCATTATTTCCTAATCTAAACAGCAAGTTGTTTTTTTAGTTTTGCACTAATTACGAACTAATTAAACCATAAAACTTCGATTTTGACCAGGTGTACGCTGGAAACCCGCATTGCATCCGTTCTTTAAATGTACAAAAAACATCACCAAATCATTTGGGTTTTTATTTCCTTTTTCAAAATATTCTACAACTGTTAAAATACTTAATATCTTTTTTCTCCCTGGATAATTGCAAAATACTAAGTCTATATTCAAAACCCTGTTAAACCCAAACCAAGCTACCGTCACGTCACCCTTAAAGCATTTACGTCGTAAATGCTCTAAGACCGTCACCTACTTCCAAATCCATATTTTATTTCCCGAATCTTACTAAATCAGCGGTGTTATAGAAAATATAGGAAAGAAAAAATCCGATATGTTTTATTTAATCTAATTTATGACTAGTAAGTCATATTTTATTAACATTCAGTTGAAGAAATATATAATAGGTACTAGCAAACGCGGCGAACTCCGTTTCGCCACCAGATGGCTTCGTTTTATGTAACATTTCGTTTGGTGATTAAAAGAAGATTTTTTTTTAATTTTTCCTGAATTTTCTTTGCTATAAACCTCACGGAGCCCGAGACCTTTCCAACGAATGCAAAACCGTGGAAATCGGTTCGTGCGTTCTGGAGTTATAGCGTCAGGAAGGAAAACCCGACTTATTTTTATATAGTAGATTAAGAAAAAAATATATCGGGCATTATAGTAACATCTATAGAAATTATATTACGGAAAAGAAAACAGTTTTAATTTATTTAGAGCTTGCAGCTGCAGAAACCTCTTCATCTTCTCGCAAAGAAGTATAGTTCAATAAATTGGAATCATAGCTAGCTTCACTACCGCCCTGAGCTAACAATGCTGCTTCCATTGCAGCTCTTTCTGCGGCTGCTTTTTCCTCCGCTAATAATATTTCCCGTTCAATATTTAATTCATCCTTTTCTCTGTTTCTTTTATCTCTGAGCTCTAAGTTTTCTCTGTATTTAATAAGACGTAACGACAAATATTTTATTGGGTCCATTGGTTGATGTAAAATAGTATCAGCAATACTTTCCCTTAGAGCGGGGCCAACGGTATGTTTTAAGTATTTAAACTCTTCCGTCACATTGACGTCATCTGGACATGGTTCGAAAAAATCTAAGTGGCTTCGAATCCGAACCAGATTTCCTAAGCCATCGTTTTCATATTCGCTTGTGGTATCTTCTTCGCGATAAATATGTTGTCCTTCGGAGTTAATATAATAACGTCCATAGTTGTCATAATAATAGGTCTTGCCATTTCTTTCTTCTTTGATTTTTAAAAGCACTCCTGATGTTTCCATTAGATATTCACTAGCAGTTGCATGTGCTTTATATATTCTTTGCCTGGTCTTCTCATCAATAAAGTATCGCCCGCACTCATCATAGTAATAAATATGTTCGCCATCATCTGTAAGAGGAACCAATTTGTTACTTTCATTTGGTTGGTATAGTGTTTCATCACCAGGCAATTTATAAATTTTTCTACTGTGCTCATCTATATAAAAATTTCCCAGTTCATCATTAAATTCTTCTTTTGCATCAGCTGCACTGAGAATTGAAATTATTGATTTATGACTTCGTTCTCCAAAGACCGCCAAGTCCCATAAATAACATAATTCTGTAGTTAATCGTTCTCGTTCTTGAGCAGGCAATAAGTGGTTGAAAATTTTGAACTGAAAGAAATCTTCACATGCGCATACTTCTTCTTCAGTTTCATTTTCAATGTCCACTTTACTCATACGATGAAGGGTTTTTATGGTAGTTTTTAAATTTTCTAGCGATGCTAGTCTTTTTTCCAAAAAATCTTTTTTATGTTGCAACGCTACAACTGCGGCAGAAAGGGGTTCTTGTTCTAAGCGTGCTATACGATCATTCAAAATAGCAATTTTTTCTACAACTTTACTTATTTCCAGATCACGAGTAGAAACGCCTCTAATCATGCTATTTATGCTCTTGCCTCTTTTTTTCAGTTCTTCTATCAATGTTTGAGCCGACTGTGAATCTTCAACCTGCATATCATCTACGATTTGTTGTAGTGTTTTTGTTAGATCTGTGCTTAAATGAGGCATATGACCAGGCATATATTTGCTTAATACAAAAGCAAGTTCATCATTTATTTTATCATACCAATGAAGAAGTTCTTCTATAGCAGCATTGACTTTAATATTAAATTCAACATTATCTACGAAGTTTTGGAAACATCTGTGTTTTTCTAATAAATTAAGTGTTACAACTTTGTGCATTTCTTCTACTATTTCCATATCAGCTAGCAAATTGGTCTGATCAATATTAGATAATTTTGGTCGATTTTTTTCCATGAATCTTTGATAATACTTTAAACGATGTCCCAATGCATCTATAGTGTAACTAATAGCTTCATACATGTCTTCCTTGGAAAGTTCACTAATATGCTTTTTGAAAGTTTCTAAGTCATTGATAGTATGTAACCATTTTAAATGAAAATCTGCTATGGCATCAATTAATTCATCTTTGGATCCACTTTGAAGGGCCGAGCGTATTCTGCACATAGTATTAAAAATAACGTCAGAATAATCTTCTTTATTCACAAATATAACGGGAGTTTCATAGAAATGTTTGATGGTTTTAGATACATCGAATAGATACGCTTTGTTCTGTTCTTCATCCATTTTGCTTTTGAGACTTCAACTAGCAAACTATATTTAAATTGAACAAGAAATCTTTTAATAGTATCTCAATGGCGATTGCTTTAAATATTTGTGATAATGACATTTATGCTAGTAAAAAAATGTACGTCAAAAATAATCAAAATGCATATTAAATTAATTACAACCTCCGTGCAATAACTAGGTATTTTAAAGTTTGAAATTTAGATTTCCTTGATCGTCTTCTCTAATGCCTGTTTCACACGAGGGCAGGACAGTGAGGCAGAACAGTTGGGTAGGACAGTGGCGTTCAAATATAGGACAGTACAGTCAATCTACGCAGTAATTTCGCGTAGCGATGGAGCGTCGACGACGACAAACGGCAATATTTACGTCAGTTGCTCAAAATTGCAATATAATAGCTCTGGATTAGCTAAATGAAATTCTTAAAATGAAATAAATAGAAAAGAAAAACTTTGGATCCGACCCTGGACAGCAAGAAGATCAGAGATTGGTTGTTCAAATCAAGTTATAGAAGAAATAAGGATGGAAGATCCCAAAGAGTCTAAATTAAAAAATAAGTGGGGACGCGCGCGCGCACACTGTCCTGCTCTCTGTACTGCACTGTCTGCGCGTTCACACGAGTCCAGCTACAAGACAGTGGTGGGGGGAGCCAACTGCCCCGAAAAAATAGACCGGCGAGCTATAAACTGTTCTGCCTTGGTTACTGTCGAGACAGTACTGTCACGGTAATATTATCTGTTCTGTGCTGTTCCTTGCGTTCAAACGGTAGCAGTACTGTCCTGCCCACTGTTCTGTCCTCGTGTGAAATAGGCATAATGGATTAAAATAACTACATTGTAACGGAATCCTAAGTCTAGGTATTCCATAAAGTTTGGTCTTTTCCATAAAGTATGAGAGAACTTGGTATGGTTTACAGTTATGCTAGTAGCACTTCCACTATTTTTTTTTACTGAATTTGATCGTTTTTGGATTAACTACGATTATGTTTAAGTCCGTCGATTTCCTTCAAATCTTACAATTATTTTAATCATATTATTAATGCTTTGGGCGTCGTCCGCGAAGGTTACTAATTTTGAGCGCACTTCGGCACGGCCACAGTGAAAGTAATCACGGTAATCACTCTGGACTCTGGGCACGGTATGGACGGGCACGGTGTCTTTATGCGTCTTCGCAGTAGGTGGAGGAAGATCCACAATCATTTTTATGTTGCCTTCAGAAGATTTATGGGTATCGATAAAGGCATCAAAATAAGTTTTTTACGTTGCAAGTTTTTTGCAATAAACATATGGCCTCGGTACCATAGCGGTTAGTGCATTCAGCCGAATAGCTGAAGAATCCTGCCTGGCCTGACACCTGGACCGATTACACTTTCTAGTGAAGTTTTCTTTAGGTTTACTTATAAATCAAGCAGTTCTGTGCATAAAAAAACCGAGTAGAACTGTTTTAAAAAAATAACGATGAAATATGAACAAGTACCTGCATTCAATCAATGTATTGTTGACTTGTTCTTCACAATAATGCACGGATTAAGCATTACAAACAATGTATTTGGGACACACAAAACTAACTAATTTTTACATCTTAACCTCAACCTTGACCTAGTGGCATCCTTGACGAAAGTAAAAATATTATAATTTATTATTTTCAATGTAAATTTCGTCATTTCAGGTTAGCATATGTTAATAACATTAGGAGCTATGGCATTTCAGTACCTACACGTCCGTTTTACTGTACAAACCACTTCACTTAAGTACTTCGTCACTATATAATGTTCCATAAACTAGTAATGATAACATTTTTAACGTATTACGTAAATGCTGAAGATAACATATTAGAAGATAGAAGATTAGATTTCCTGGGTCTTGCGAAAAAGTATGGACTACTATGTGAAGCACATGAAGTTATAACAGAGGATGACTATATACTCAAAATATTCCATATTCCTGGTGACAAGACTCGTCCGGTGTTGTTAGTGCATGGAATCATTGATACAGGAGACGCCTTTATAATAAGAGGTAATTCGTCTTTGACTGTAGCCCTGGTGCGAAAAGGTTACGACGTCTGGATTGGGAATACAAGAGGCAATGAATACTCTAGGCGTCATCAACGACTAAATCCTGATGTTGATAAGGAATACTGGAACTTTTCCTTTCATGAAATTGGTGTGTGGGATTTAGCCAGTAAAATAGATTATGTTCTCAATAAAACAGGGCAAATTCAAATAAGCTTTATCGGTCATTCGCAAGCAACCACAGCCTTTTTCGCATTGGCTTCAATTAGACCAGTTTATAATAAAAAAATAAAAATATTTATAGCGCTAGCACCGATTGCGTTTCTACATCACCTTGATTCATCACCAATGAGAGAAGGGTTGCTTGCGTGGCCTTACATCAATTACTTCTTTACTAAGATAAATAAAGAAGAAATTTTGGGCAAAAAATCATTGGAAAAGTATGTATTTAAGTTGCTATGTTCTCAAAAAAATGCATATGAATGGTGTGTAAAGGGGCTTATGATGCCAATTAATGGATATGATCTTCAAGAAATGGAGCCCGAGTTTTGGTATGTTTTGCTGGGTCACTATCCATCAGCGACATCACTTAAAAGTTTAAGTCATTATCAACAGATTTGGACAAAGAGAAAATTCTGTCAGATGGACTACAATGAATATAGAAATTTAGCTCTTTATAATTCCAGCGAACCTCCTGATTATGATTTGAGTAAGGTAACGACGAAAGTAGCTTTGGTGGCAGCGCCCAATGACCGCATGAGCCGTATTGAGGGAGTAAAGTATCTTAAGCAATTCTTGCCCAACGTGGTGGATTTTATTGTTTTGGGGCATAAGACAGCAAACCATTTAGACTTCACGTACGGTAAACATATGCACTTATACCTGTTTCCACACATTATGAAGCTGTTAGAAAAATATATTTAATCTGTATAGGCATCGCTCAACTATCCTATGATTACGCATAAATAAAGTAATATTACTGCAATACCTTTTATATTAAGACTAGCTGTCCCAGCGAACTTCGTACCACCATAAAAAAAATAGGGGTTGGTGGAAGAAGGGTAAAAATGTAGGGTTGTATGAATTTTTGTATGATGTATCATAAAAAAATAAGACAAAAAATTATGTCCAACAAAAAATTAAGGGTAGACCACCCTTAACATTTAGGGGGACGAAAAATAGATGTTGTCCGATTCTCAGACCTACTGAAAATGCATATAAAATTTCACGAAAATCTGTCGAGCCGTTTCGGAGTAGTTCAATTACGCACACCGTGACACGAGAATTTTATATCTTAGATGATGTTTCTATTGTGTATTATTTTTGCTATAAACTTACGAAATTATGTGATCAAGTTCACGGCAACCGATAGCGCTGTAGGTGTAGGTAGGCCGTTAGCTCTAATATATTTTTTCTTACCCGAATCAAGATTTTTTAATTAATTATTACAAAATTTTATTCAACTTTTATTCGATGCGTATTTGCAAAAATACAAAGCATAATAATACACATACACACACAGTCCACACTTTCCACCTCTGTAATGATGATATGATATGATAAGGTAATGCGCTTAGTGAAGCAAAGGCCGCATGGCGTCATCGTATTCTACAGAACTTGTGCACGGCTTGTGGTTCAATCTCGCAATCATGTAAACACTACAAATGTCTAGTGAGCATAGCATAACGATGCTGATTGAACTTTACCTACCTGGCTATTCTATATATGGCATGTTCTTTAAGAAATTAAAAGGTAAGACTGCTAATTTTACAAATAGCAAATATGAATAGCAATGTGAAGTTATAAATAAAATTTGAAAAGTAAAAAAAAAAATAAGTTCCTATCCACTATCCTTTATCCATGATTCCCACACTCATTGGTAGCTTTCCAATTACAGCATTATTGGCTTGTTAAAAATATATCGATATTTTTTGTTCGATATATCAATATTTTTTGCAGATATATTTTGATTCGATATATCGATACATCGATACAAAATAACCAATATCGGTATTCGTATCAAAAACGATATTTTTAAATTATTAGCGGCATATCACGATCTAACTAAATTCGTATCTGAAAAAATCGAAAATGGATCTCAGATTAATGATATTCAACATATCTATGATCTGTGCTGTATTTAGTATTGTCTATGGGTACGGCCAGAGTGCACTCAGATTCAGATTCAGATTCCGAAAACAAGCGCGAGAAATAAACAGTGTAGTTAAAGCAGGGTGGCCATAGTGGCCGCAGGCAACCTGCTTAAACTACACTGTATATTTCTCGCGCTTGTTTTCCGAGTCTGAATCTGAATCTGAATCTGAGTGCACTCTGGCCGCACCCTATTATTTGTAAATCTGTTTCGCTGGTGAATTGGTTGTGCTGATTTCCATTATATTCTGTGGAAGTGTGTGACTGTCTAGTCTTGTTTACGAAAGATGGCACCTGAAAGGCCCTGCAATCATTTTTATCATTCGAAAATAGGGTCTATTTTTAGGGAGATAATTTTCGTTCCATTATTATTCCGCGTGTCATATTTCGTGAGATACTGTACTGTCATGTAGTGTAGCGGCAATTTGGTACTTTGATAATTCTTTCTTTAATTATAATTTGTATTGAACTATTATTACTGTGCTAGGCTGACCTAAATATATTTTTGGGAAAATTGGTCCGATATATCGATGTTTTTTTCGCAATATATCGAAGCCTATATTGATATTTTATAAAATATCGATGTATCGATATATCGATATTTTTTTCAACTTACGACATCCCTATTGCGCATTACGCGGCATAATGCTAAACGTTGAGTGTTTCAACTACAGCAACGCTTCGCACAATCGAGCACTCTCAAAAGTAATGCTTTCGTGTGATGCGTGCAATCGTACCAACTCAGAGACAGAAAATTAACAAGTGTTTTTTCTTTCGTCATTATTCATCGTTAGTAATATTATTTATTGTTGAAAAATTATTAAAACTTTCGTTTCATCATAGTTTTTTTTAAATAATCAAAGTTATTTCAAACCGTGTTAAAAAATTAAATATAAATATGGATGAAGGTACAAACATTGACTTTTTTTTCAACACTGAACTTAGCGCACTCTGCTGGTGCATTTGAAAACTAATTCACGTTGCGCCACTGAGTCGTATTATGCTCTGTAATTGGAAAACCACCAATTAATTCTCACTGCATGCTTAAGACGTCGTTGACGACGTTGCCGTTGCTTAAGACGGCTTGAAGGAAGAAAGCATGCGTGAGAGCAAGGAAATAGCGCGGCAAAGAAAATAAGACACCACTTTTGTTTTTCTTATTATTTAAAACAAACCGGTCCCGGTCCGCCCCATCAGTCCACACTTGGCCCACGTAGTGGCTCACGGCCCAATTTTCTTGTTCTACTGTATTCCATGCATAGCAGGACATTAATAGGCTGGTGATAATGATGACACATATCAACTCGGAAAGGGATCGATATCGATTTGCCTTTCGGCTTACTGACAAGCAGGCGTCTAACTAACGAAATCGTAAGCAGATAAGCAGTTCCAGTACCTTTGGATATGTTATGGCTAGGCGACACCGCTGACCGCTGGTTGACGGCTAGACTGCAACAGTTCGATCAGCCATAGGGAAACTAACTTCTCCGTTTTAGTAGTCGGCACTTCCTAAACGTTACTTTCTCTGGCGGAATGGTTCCACAGAGAATTGGCCCAGTTCGAGAATGGACCCATTGCAGAATGAAGCCAATGTGGAACGAGCCCAGTGCGGTATGGGCCTGACGCGGAATGGGCCTAGTGTGGTTAGACCCAGTGTACAATAAGCTGGGTCGAAAGGGCCCAGTATAGATTGACCCAGTGGGGTATGAGCCCGGTGTGGAAGGGCCCAGTGCGGAATAGGCCCAGCGTGGATGGACGAGGTGAGGAATGAGCACAGTGAAAGTTTGAAATATTTTTATTCGTAATGATATTAAGCTGTCTTCTTTTTTTGACAATCAAACAGTATTTAACAATATTGTGCAACTACATTCAATCGAAAACTAATAATAAATTTACAACAGACAAACAAATGAAGAATTCCTCTTAAGGGGCCAATCATTGATGTCGATTCTAGCATGATTCTATAAACCTAAACTTAAATTTGACAACAGTGTATCCTTGTCATTCTCTATACAGAACGAAAAGGAGAGACTGATGTTAAATTTAGTTTTAAATTTAGATAATTATGCCAGAATCGACTTCATTAGTAAATCTACCATACATATATATATATATATATATATATTTCTTGATGTATGAACAGAGTAGTTCAATTTTGATAATTCTTTTTTTATTGGAAATGGTATATCCCGAAGTTGGTTCCATAATAATTTGGACAAACAAATCCGGGTATGAAAACAGGGTCTGATTGATTGTTCTCTAACATATTTATACCGAGTTGTATATAATACAAATTATAGCGACAAAATAATGTAAAATAAAAACTTGTTGACAAAAAAATTAAAAAGAAATACAAAAAAAATGGTTGCCTGTAAAGTCGGTTTTACGGGCGAAGATTTTACGTGACAACGTCTTTTTCTCGGTAGAATATTTATTGATATGAATATAATTAAATTGCACAATAGGAACAAGGAATTGAATGAAAATAAGAATTGCACAAATTTTAACTATAGAAATATATTTTGTTTACTAAAACATTGTACATGTAAACTTAAACTTAACACGAGAGACTCATCGTAACGTTACCGAGCGTTACACTTTTTCATAAGTGACTCCCAGCCGCAACCTAATTTAAGACGTTGTCACGTCAAAAAAGGTTTACATCTTTTTTAACTGAAGTCAAAATTAATATTAGGAGTCGGTGCCAGTTCCAGGCCAATCCAAGTGGTAAATGGGAACTCAGATCTATCAGACCTGCATGGCACCAACTCCAAATATTAATTTCACTAAAGATTAAACAGGTTTATTATTTTTTACATTTCGGCGGATTATTTTTTTTGTATTTTTTTTTTTTCATATATTTTTGTTAAAAAGAAAGACAAAACAACTTCTTTGGAAATGGGATCTAAATCTTTGTCTGAATAAACTATATTAAAGATAAATAAAACTAGTTTTATTTAATGAGTGATGTCCGTGAAAACCTAAGAAACAAATATATATTAAAGATAATTTCTATTCTCAAAAATATTGAGATCTTTTTATATCGTCCATGGTTTAGCTTAAAAAATGTTTTTTTACTGTTGCAACATTGCTTTTATCTAAATATGACAGCTGATAGGCGGCCATATTTGTGAGAATTTGACGAACGAACGATTCTTCAAGTGTTTTTGAGAGATCACACAAAACAAAAACCCTAATGATAGCGATTTACATAAAATTGTGTTCGTGTCTGCCAAACCAAGATCTTCGATTTTATACTCGTCAAACAAATATTTTTTTTTAAGCTAGGGAATGAGGTGACCTATGAAAACAATTTCTAGTGCTACGTATTTCCTATTATGATTAATCTTTTAGGACAAGGTCCTCGTTATTTATGTAAATTAGGATGGATCACAGTGAGTGATTAAGCTGTGTATGTTGTCATCACGAGCTAGTGTGAACGCGAATGCTTACCTTAAAGGTTCGTTGGCGATCGTTTGTCCTCACACTGTGCAATAAATGAGGTATATTTCGAGTTATGGCTATTCGGTTAGCTTAAGTGAAACTTAAAAACGTAGCCGATATGGCTCCCAAGCCTCCGCCACCTCCTGGCCCGCCGCCACCACCTGGACCACCTCCACCACCAATTTTTGGAGGAAGTTCCAAAGGCGGCTCATCAGACGACAGAAACGCTTTGTTGAGTTCTATACGGCAGGGGGCGAAATTGAAAAAGACAGTAACAGTGGACAAAAGTGGTCCCTACATACCAGGGAAAGTGTCGAATGTATCAAATAGTGCATCTCCTGTTGGGAATGGAGTCAGGAGTGGTGCCCCAATGCAGAATGGGGGAGGAGCGCCTCCAAGCCTGGGAGGATTGTTTGCTGGTGGAATGCCAAAGCTGAGATCAACTGGTAAATTTGGAGGTATGTATTGTAGTGACATTCTTTTAAAATATTTTTCATAAATAAACAGCAATGGGTTTCTTGACTAAATTTGAAATACAAACAGGAAGCATTGAAACCTCTAAATTCTCATTGTTAATAACATCAAATAAAACATGATAAGTTACTATCAATATTACAGTATCCAGTCTAGTGTCTTCTATTTTCTCCAAGAGAACACCATGAGGGTTAAATGACATCTTTGCAACCAGTTATGCTTAAAAATCCTAATCTTATCATTAGCCTTGATTAGCCTCCTCTTCTACATATTTTCATTTTAGTGTTTTTACAGAATTTCATTTGGTGATAAAATATATATTTTATCTATTGTGAATGTTAGGTAAAATTGATATGTTGGTTATCATTCAACTAATTAATAGTTTTATCTTTACTTGTTTTTGTTTATTTCCTATGCCTATTTTTAATTTTTAAATTGAACTTTATTCTTATTCTTTTTGCATTTAAGTCATGAATGTTGTATATGAAGTCCTTTCTGCTATGAAATAAATAATAAATGAATGCTACTGGAAAAGGACAATGGCATAATTTTGTCCAAAGATTGTAATTATGTTTTGTTTTAATTATTATATTTTCTAACTACAGACAATTCGACTAAAACTGTTCAGGTGTATTAGTAAGATTCTCTAGATATTACAATTTGTCATTATTCTGCTTCATATGTAGCACTGATAAAAATCATTATAAAAAACATTATTCTAATTACTTGATTTTGATAAGATACCTCTAACATGGGAATGAAGGTGTAGTAGGGAACTAACAGGAATGTTAAATTGATTTATTTTTTATTTTACCTCATGGTGTTGGGTGCTGTTGAAAGAACCCCTTTTCACAAATATTATATAATATATTTATGCTAGTTATTTGTTAAAGAGAGGTTATTGTTTCATAATGAACAGCAGTTTGTGAATGCAGCGGTGTCCAGGGTGAAAAATCATTTTCACATAAATATCTGGGCTTTTGCGAAGTTTTATCTGGCATGGGCAATTTAAGCAATGACAGCAGTAAATAAGGTTAGGTATGGTAACTAACAAGCTAGGCCTCAGAAAAAAAAATTAATGATAATATGAGTACTCTATAGCATATCTTTTATTTATATATTTATATTCAGGTAGCATAGGCCCATAGTAAGTACCTTACAGTCTTTTATAATGAATATTAAAACATATTTTTCAGTATAAAAACTTTATACCTATGTGATAAAAGGAGGACAGGTGAAATGTACCCACCAACCACTAACAACCAGAATTATGTCATTGGAAAGCCCTTTTCCCAACTATTATTTGTTGCTAAGAGGACTAGTTTCATTCCAATGTAGGGAAATAGTTACAGTTAAATGAAATCTATAAACAGCATTTTATTCCTGTTTTGTTTGTGGCTACATCTGTTTTCCTACAACAAATTGAGACTTACCTCCATAGTAACAAATGATAGTCATGGGAAGTGCTATCTAACAATATACAGATGATCATTATTGGTTGGTGGGCACATGTACCATACAGTTGTGCCAGTCTCCTTTCTAATTAAGATGTTTAGGCAGTGACATGTGGTGCAAAGTGGGGTGAGTTAGTAGTTTTTGAACTGCTTGTTATCTGCTAGTCTTTCAAGTCAAGATTCTCTTTCTCAAGGTATGTAGAGGTATCATATTGAAATTAATATCGAATACTTCTTCCTCCTGCTGATCTATTCACTCAACCCATAAAGCTAGCTCAATGACTGCTTGGGATGTTTTTCTATCCATTAAAACTCCAAAATAAGCCCTCCCCTTGCAATGAAAGATTATGTGGTGCATATGGCCAACAGGATTTCCTGTTCCCCTAAATTTGTTAACAGCAAATTTCCTGTGAGGTGTGATGTTCTCTTCCTGTACAAAATGGAGCATTGACTTGCATCACCAGCAGGTGTTGGAGATAATGCATTTTTATTGAATAGAAAATTTTGGATATATTTTGACATTTCAGCCTATCCTTTAAGGTTTTAGTATCACAGTGTGTGCACTTTTTCTCGGATATCAAGGTCCATCAACTCCGGCTGAATCAAAACTTAAACTAGTAAAAAACCTTTATTTTAATATATTTTTACCTGTCATTAAAAAAGGTTCAAAAGATCTCTAGTAAAAGTAATTTAATAGGGTGCTTTGCGCCAGTACATGAAAGGTTTGGTATTTTATCAAAGGATTACATTATAATATTCTATCTGCTCAAGATACTTGACTACATGAAAACAATATATTTACAAAGGGGATCTCAATATATGCCATTTAATAAGACTTACATCATAGATCTCTATAGTATAAATAGAATAGGCTAAAATAACTGATATGATAATTAAAACAGCGAAAATTGTATGCTAGGAACCACACCAAATGGCCAAGTCAAGACTGATGCACCCCGGTTCCCGCCCCCGCAGCAGCCACAGCAACCGCCAAAATTCTCTCCAGAAAAGACCAGGGCAGCCATGCCGACGCCTTCTGGGAACGTGGGGGCTTTGAGCGCAGCTCTCTCAGAGGCTTTAGCTGGTCGGGATAGAGAGAGCCCTAGAGAACAACCTACGAGAGAGTACGCCAGGGAGACCCAAAGGGAGCACCCTAAAGAACCCCCTCCGGCGCGACCGGCGATCCGACGGCAGCCCAGCGACATCCGAGTCAGAGGGCCTCCCCCACAGCCACCTGTACAGAAACCAGCAATGCCTTTGGTAAGTGATATTCAAAATCTGAAGTCTCGAACCTTTCTTACCCGTATAATAAATAAAGACTGTTTAAGATGTCTTGGCGTAAGGTCAAATAAATATGTGGGACCTTGGTCAATGAAGAGAAGAATTTATTTATTCTCTCAATCAGACCATTATGCAAGTTGTCCATTTTAAAAAACGATGTATAAAATTAAATAAATAAATATTTCCAACACACAACAATTAGCCTAGCCCCAAAGTAAGCACTGTAAGGCTTGTGTTATGGGATGCTAGGGTAATGGATAGAATACATATACAGTACATATATAAGTATATTTATATAGAAATACATATTAAACATCCATGACTGGAGTACAAATGCTCGTGTTCATCACACAAACATCTGCCCCCACCGGGATTTGAACCCGGGACCTCTCGAGTCTGCGACACCATGAAACCCGGCGTACAAACCACTCGGCCACGGAGGTCGTCTAAAGATTGGGTTGCAATCAGTTGCAATTCATACTTTGTTTCTGCCATGTCAATTCTTAAGCAGTGACGAGTATAACATCGTTATAGCATATTACATAATATAAGAATAATACATAATCACATTAAGTACACTCTGGTCTACCACATAATTCTTTGCTCCGTTCAATGATACATTAACGTGTTTATCATGTGGTTTCTATCTTCACTGTCTGAGCCGCATAAGTAACACGAAAAAGTGGTTTGTCGCAAATAGAAATCTTCTGTATCAACTACGAAATCTATAAAAAGAAAGAAAATTTTATGCATTTGCAGTTGTGTATCTGAACTAAGTAGGTACTATTCCGATATTGTAAAAGTGAATTAAGGAGATCGCATTATAAAATGTAATGGTTTTTTTTGCCGCAGTGTCGCACGTTTATTACAATTTACGTTAACATCACAATTTGCATTGCGATTTCTCTCTGCAGCCAGAGATAATAGACTGTGTGTATCAAGTTTTTATACTTAAATAACATTCCCACAATAACATCTCAAGTCAGAGACGCATCAATTGACATTACTTGGGCTTAGATGTTCAAAAATAGCGACAGTTGTCCGTAGTCGCATCTTCACAAAGGTTCATAAAAATTACCGATCCGTTTTTTACTCCCAGTCCACTGTAAAAGCTATATTGTACTTATAACTGTAGAGTTATTTATGAGTCCCCAAAAAAGTATCAAATAGGTAACTTTTTATCATTAAAAATAAAAGTTACACCCACCCGCGTTCAAAAATAAGCATTTGCCGTATGATCAAACACGTGTGCACTATGCTCGGTAATAAATACCCTCAGTGGGTGGGTTCTCGACCAGAATCGACGTATATTTGGATTCATTATAAACGGACGGAGCGACCCACGGACGATTACTAAATTCTGCTAAAAGTAAAAACATACTCGGAAACGGATCATTCTTAGAATACACCTGCTGTTAGCGTTCCGCTAGTTGAGGTGATGCATTCCCTTGCAATATTGTAAATACAATCTCGCAATCGAGTTTAAAATTACGTCGTTACAGCAGCAGCCTGTACTGAATATCTAAAAATTGGATCTGCCGATTATATTTCATTAATTCCACATTCAGATTGGAAAATAATAATAATGAGGGGTTTGGATTTAGGTTTTGCGGCTCCGTTTCTGCCATGCGCAATGATATTTGTGGATCAACCATAAAAATGCTTACATCGGTGGAATCAGCACATTGCTACATTGTCGTTGCCACTTCAGTCCGCAGTCTGGGTCACAATAATGTTGCGCAAACCTGTGGGTTGATATCGCCCACTTACATGCTTTCGTTACTATTTTCTGCTATAAGCTGTAAACATCCTAATTTCACACCTAAGCCCTACTAAGGTTTTTTAAGGTACAATACGACATCGACATGCGACGTGAAAATACATAAATATATAGATTTATAAAATATATTTTTCTATTGTGTAAACTTTAGAATCTGTTATTTTATTTTCTTTGAGAACAAATCCATTGACATATTGAGCAAAGGAAAGGCATGTTAACTTTCTTGTCGCAGAAGAGTCATTCCTCGTTCAGCTTCTGTATTTTGTACGGAGCAAGCAAGTTGACACTATTGTTAGTGTCATGACAAACCTATACTCATAAAGCCTATTAATGAATTGTATTAATTTAAGAATAATCACATTTTGATGACCAAAGATTAGATATGCTTTTCAAATAGGACACTTTTATTAGATCATGTAATGTCAAAATTCCCAATGTCACAAAGTTTGAAAGATGATATTATGTATGTTATGTGTGATTCTTAAAACTAGGGGGGATGGATGTTTGCCTGAACACTATTACTGCCGATGGCCGTGGAACTCTGGCAGGTAACTTTATTCACTGCTTCGTCATCGTCACCACTATACTAACGTATTTATTGTACAGTGATCTGAACTAGATTCCCGATAGGGTCGTCGTCGGACGAACTTTTTGTATGTCAAGGCCGATAACGCATATGTGACCCTATAGGTGTTGCCGATGTGTATGCTGTATGACTCATTATATAATAAGAACTAGCGGTCCGTCCCTTATTTATTTACGTTATATTACGTAGCTATGATCTGGTAAAAATGGTTTCAAAATCGGTCAAGTGGTTGAAAAATAGAATTTTACCCCTGGAGATCCCGTGTCCGTGGAACCATCTGAACAAAAGTCGCACTTCTACAATTTCAAACATTGAAGATTTCGTTTTGAAAATCAGTTAAGTGGTTTAAGAAACAGGATTTGACACCTGTAGTCTCATTCCCGTAGAACTGTTGGGAAAAATGTTGTTTTATTGTTGTACAAGACAGCCGAAAGTATTGGTACTCATACTTACATTTTAGTTATTCAGCGTTCGTTTCTTCTTTATCTTTGTGTACATTTATATCTTATCGACATTATGTTCGAAGCAAAACCTTATCTACTAATAATTGACTCGAATGTGGAATTTTGTACGTCGATTTTATACAAAATAATGTCGAATGCAGTAGCCCGTGAGCGACATGACTATCGGGAATCTTTTCAGGGTGAGTGAAATGCCTTAACGAACTATTTGAGCATTATTCAAGGATCCTTCTCCCCCTGGATTTGTCCCCTTTTTTCATTATTCTTAGATCAACAACAATGTGTACATTATCAATGTTCCCGCTTAACCCTAGTATTCCTTATGCTTCAACGTGTCTGGTGACCGGTGCAGGAGTATTGTATGGTTTTTACTGGCCTTGCTCAGGGTATTCGGTAGGGTCCAGCTCATTTCATCAAGCCTGTTCAGGCCCTGCTCATTTCATCAAGCCCAGTGCTGGATGAAAGAAGCAGGCAGAGTCCCAGATACCTTCATCGCTCTCCCGGTAGTTCAAGGATGCGTAAGGCATTTTCTTGTTAAATAAATAAAAACGAATCGCCGAAATATTTGTACGTGCATATCTTCCGTAAAACTGCACCAAATTATGTTTGTTTCTCTTTTTTAGGGTTAGAAGCACTTCGGTGTCCTTCTGTCTGTATTTCAATCAAAACCTTTTATCTCGAGAACGCGTGTAGGTATCAAAGTGAGGTTTAAACGATAAAGGCCCACTTGCACGAAATTTCTTTACCCGAGTTAAGGTACAATTCCGCAATGGGCTGCAGACGACAACCGCAGACGACACTGCGGCTAACGGCTGCGGCTGACCATGCATTATATGCATTGTGCAGCCGCGACATGTTACCGCGCTCGGAATCAATTTCATAGAGATTCATAGAAACTAGTAGTGTCGCCTGCAGTCTGCAGCTGTGGCCTGTCTGCGGTTCCGTTCGGACTTGTAGACTTGTACCTTTAAGGTTTAATCGTGTATAGCACAATATTCCATCTTTGTCAATTTTGTTTAAAGTTAAAAATGATTGAATGCGGCTTAAACCTGATTAGCTTTTAAACTTGAATAAAGAACTGTCGTGCAAGTGGGCCAAAGTATACTAAAGTTTGCTGTCCCTTGAAGCTGTGAAAAATTCACACTTCTAAGTTAACGTAGAAAATGATACGGCGGGTTATGTTGCGTACTTACAAATCTTATATCCGGTTTTTTTGTTCCCTTCCGCTTAATCTTTCAATTATCTTTAGGTACTCATACCCTTTCTAGTTATTGGGAAGTCTGTTGTATTCTAGGTGTATAGTTATGAATAGGCTTCTGTTCTTATTGATAAACTTCTATTATGATCTTATATGGATGGGTTATTAAAAACTTCGATGTGTTGTTGTTTGTTTATGAAATAATGTTCCCGCGGTTAAATTTGTTACGAGAGTGGCGTGAATTAAACACATTTAGCCCAATCTTTATTATGATAATAGGGGTGATGACGGGGTACAGTAAACGAAATTCTATTAAGTCCGTCAGTTAGATGATCAAAAAATAATGGACACGTATTTTTTCTTTGGGCAATCAACTAAAAAATGACAAAGTTATAGCGAGTCAAAGTTTGGGAGTAGGGGCTCGTGACGTCACTTTTGAGTGAATTTTCCCTTATAGTGTACTCAAACGTGACGTCATGCGACTTTTCAAATCAATATATCTCTGCAATGTTTATATTATGTGAAAAAAGAAAAAATACATGTCCATTACTTTTAATCTACCTGATAAACGAAGAAAAAAAAATTAGTCATCATCCCTATTCACACGAATTTTTTAGTCTAATATTTCCTTACATTTAATCTAATTGATATCTATTTTCTACTTATCTCTTTTCTGTTTTATCTCTTTATCATGCGTTGTATTTAACATAATTACGTGCACATATAAATATTATTGTGCCCTGATTAGAATTTATGTTTTTATTAAATTATTTGCGCAACGTTTCTTTACGCAATTCGAATACGATTTCACTACGTGAGCACGATTTCAATTGTTTTATGTCAATGAGCTGGGAATTTGTGACTGTAATCTTGGTAGCTAAATGAAGATTGATTTAAATCATGTATATGAATAATAATTTTCCACAGCATTATCTATATTTTTATTATTTGTTA